GAGTCTCTTGACACTGTCTGATTGTTACTGTTTCAGTTTCTGCTTGGATCACTGACCGTGTCCATTTAGAGCAGGCTGGCTTGGATGAAGACTGTAGGGCTGAGGAAGGACAGAGAACACAGACCAACCAGGGGTGGGCTTTTGAGGTGGGCAGGGAGCTTTACTAACCCGAAAGTGAGCAGGTTACACATGAGCTGCTGCCAGACACAGAATGAATATACCCATAAATGGGAGGAAGGAGTCTTTTCATTGCCCCCCCCCATCTCCCCGGCCCGCAGTAATTGCCGTTGATGGATTCCAGTCTGTTTGTGGCCTTCTTCTAATGACAGATTGGGGTTCAGCTCGACCTTGGGACAAGTAGATGAAGAGCTACAGGTTTGTTCCTTATATGGGACAGTTTGTTTCACAGTGAGAAAATCTCGGCTATTTATTTTTTTCGGTTTCCGTTGTAAACTTGAAATGGATGATTTTATGTGTCCTTGCAAACCCACTCCCAGTAGTGGATAGTGCTAACACATGTATTCAATTGGTGACTGGGACTATATATACCTGGCGCCACCATCTCTGCTTTGGATTGCAGATGAGCGAAAGCAGGTTCTTAGTTTCTCCCTCAGTCAGGTGCAGTTCCGGAACAGTTCTGGGGACCCAGAGGTAAGCTTTTGCCTCCTACATAATTATTTTCATCAGTTTTACACATCACTGGTTGTCCATCCCTTTGGGCACCATGCTGTGCCTGGCACAAGCTAGTAATCCCGATTTGGTCCTGGCCCTCGCCAGTTTACAACCTTAAATCACAAAAGGCACCCGGTTAACAAACACATCCAGTTATCTGCCAATCACAAGAGATTCATTGAGTGAGCTAGGGTAAGGAACACGGACCTCCTTCAAAGAGCTTCCAGTCTGGTGAGTAAATAAGGTTTTGGCAGAAGAGGTTCGGGGGAGAGATACCGTCAACGTGGGCATTATGGAAGACATATTTTTTAGTTATTGTCCTGTGGCTTGGTTTCCGACTTAGGACACATCCCTCACCTGATATGAAAGAGTTTAGTTCCAGGCCCTCCACCTGCAGACAGTTGATACAAAGCACTAGGCTGAGATGGGAATGCTCCCTGTCTCCCTGGGTGGTCACAGCAAATCACTTGTTCTCACTGATGGAGCCACAACTTAGTTGTCCACAACTAAGGCCCCTGATGCTGGGGGTACAGCGTCTCAACCTAGGCCCACTGAGCGTGAGACCTCAGGTGGGAGCACCCTGCTGAATGCACAGGTTTGGTGTGGAAGACTGGAGGAGGCTTTGGATAAAGACATCCCTGGCATTCTGGTCGCAGCATCCCCCCTGGGCGTGCAGGGCTGGCCAGAGGAGCCGCGCTCAGCAGGTCCCTATACTCTTCCGACGGGCACACGGTCCCGGGCGGGTTCCGAGGGCGGGCTATGGAAAGACGGCCCGGGCCGGCCCAGTTTGGGTTTGCGCTCTTGGGCTCGTGAGGTGCCCGCACCGTTGCCAAGAGAGAAGCTTCCCCGAGGGCGGGTTGCACGGTGCCCCGGGCCGGGCGGCTTTGGGGCCTGGGCGAGGTAGCAAAGCAGGGCGGAGGGAGGAGTGCAAGTGTGGGGAGAGCGCGCGGGAGCCAGAGCCCGCGGCCCGAGAAGGGTGGGTCTGGGATCCGCGGAGGCTGTAGCGGGAGGAGCGAACCAGGGAACGAGGGAGGTGGGCCCGGCTGGAGGGCCCGAGCCACCGGGGATGGGGCGGGGGGGGGGGGGGGGGCGCCGGGGGGGGGGATGGGGCCGCGGGAGGGGGGGGGGCCGGCGGGGCGCGGCCAGGGGGCGGGGCGCCGGGACCTGGGGAAGATAAGAGCGTGCTCGCAGGGGAGCGAGGGCGGGCGGGAGGGAGGGGCGGGGGACTTAGAGACCAAAGAGGAGACAAAAGGACCGGGTGTGTGGGAGGGGCATAGACAAGCGGGGCTAGAGGAGGGGCGCCGGGGGACTTCTCGCAGGGAGGGGTGTGAGTGTGTGTGTGGGGGGAATGGCGTGGGAGGGACTTAAGAGTGGGACGTGAAGGGACAACATAAGAGAGCGCGGGGGTACAGAGAAAGGGGGGCAGGAGTGCTCCACCACGCTGGCCACGAAGGGGAGGGGACGCCGTGAAGTGGAGGCCGCTGGGAGGAACGGCCACACACAGGGTGGGAGGTCCCGGGGATGGATGGACAGTCCGCTAGAAAGAGGGACCCGGAGGGGAAGGGTATACAGACTCGGGGAGAAAGCCTTTCGAGAACCCAAGGATGGAGGCGGATGGGCGTGTATCGAGCTCGGAGGGCTGGGATTGAAAGCTGCCCTTTGGGATGACCAAAAGACCAGTGGGGGCTGCAATAGACGGGACGGAGCTACCAAGGAGGGCGAAAACTGCTCAAGGGAAAGTGGAACCTAAGAGGGCTGCAGAAGGGTGGCGGGGGTGGCTTTCGGGCTCGGCAGGAAGGCGCCACCACCGCCTTCTGCCCGTCCCCAGTGTGCCCCGCCCCGTCCGGGGGCCCTAAGGGCAGCGGCCGGGCCATGGGGGAGCCGAGCCAGGGCGGTACCATTCGGAACGGGGGGGGGGGTGGGGGGAGGGGGGGGGCCGGGGGTCAGACCCTTGTTGGGGGGGGGGGGGGGGGCCGCCACACCCTGGGAAAAAGGCTTGGGCACATCCAGAGCCGACCAATCAGTAAGCAAAGCCGGGGTGGCGTCAAGGGGCAGCTTTGGCCAATAGGAAGGAAGAACACTTCGGAGGTTCGGAGGAAGAAAAGGAAAAAAAAAAGAGCCCCACGAAACAACAATTGAATCCGTTTGGGGGCTTGGAAAACGGGGAGTGGGCGTCGTTTATGTCATGTTCCAGCGTCTGCCCTCGCCTTTGAAGGATGGGGTGGCTTGCATCACTTTAGTGCTGTACGGCGCAAACATCGTGCAGAAGGGTCCCGAGAAAGTAGACCTTGAATTGTCCACTTACTGGTGCTTCAATTTGTAGACTGGTTTGCACCGAGATGGCAGCTTTGTGTTTAAGAGTGAAAGAATGTTGAGTTATCTTAAATGGAGGCAGGAGGAGGTAGACGTTCCTCATTCCCCTTCACTGGCTACCGATTTAAGTGTCAACTAGCGGAGCCGATTATGGACAATCAGGAGCCAGTGCATAACTTAAAAAATGCCCTTTGGGCATTGAGCAGTACTCATTATATTTATTTCCCTTGACAGCCAGTCCCAGCTTCTTCCTGAGGACTACTGGTAAGAACACCCAAAGTTATCTCTCAGAAATTCAGAAAAAAAAATTGTATGACTTTGGGCTTTCAAGTTAGCCGAAGGTTCTAGTTCCTGATTCATCATGTAACATGGGACTTTTAACTCTACATGAAATCTTCTGCCTATGAAAATCAAGGTATTGGTAGGTAGGTCCTTCGAGATCTAACCATTTTGGAATTTGTTTGGAGAGCAGTAGCATGCTTGACAGTGGTCCAGATGGAGTGGGTGTTTGTGAAGACCAAAAACCACGTTAGCAATAGGTCCGGTGATATAAATGTCTGAAGCTGAAACTAGAATAGTGTACTCATGTGTCTCAGAAGGCTTCACAACTTCCAACATATTCTGTTTGGATCTTGTGATAAGGTTATGAGGGGTGAGCCTCCACGGGAGAACACGAAATGCAGTGTGGTTCAGGGCCTTGGGTATGCTAAGCACCTACTCTACCACTGCATTACACCTCCAGCCTTCCAGACGATGATACAAAGAGGCAGAAGTCCATGTTAACTACCATATGGCTGAATACTGCTTGAATCAATGGTGAGGAACTGGCTGGGTGAGTTAGAAAGGAAACACGTTTACTTCTGAGATTGCAATTGCATACATGTACCTGTAAAGTGAGGAGAAAGCCTGTCTCATTACTATGAAGACATACAAAAATGATACTGCTCTTCCAGCCCCCACCTCTGCAGTGTTGGGCATTACAGTATAAACCTAGTATCCCTCCAAGACTATTTTTAGGGGAAATCAAACCTGGGCCTTGTAGGTATACAGGCTGGTACACTCCTATTGTGCCAAAACAAAACAAGCAAGCAAACAAAACTTTTCTGGGGAGACACAAGTTTACTCACCCCAGACAGGAAGCCCAAGAGAGACTGAAATAAAGATACCACCAAAGTCCAACTTGGTGAACCAATGAGTTTTATTGGGCTTGTATACAGGAGCAAAATCCATTGTGAAACGGAGCTGCATCATCAAAGCCCATCCCAGCACAGGTGACAGCTCACAAAGCTGGGGACCTGGAGCACACTGCACTGCCTGAAAGCAGTTCAACAGGCTGGAGAGGGTCCGTTCCAGGGGCTTCAGTGGGTCTAAACCTCTTCCAGGCAGCTGGTTATCTAGTTTAAGATAGTCTTTTTTGCAGCTTGTCTCTCTCAGGCTGTGGACTCTCAGCTTTCATCATTTGCTCTGGTGGGGGCAGGGCTTAAGGGCTGAGATCAGTTTTAGGGACTTCCTGAAGCTATTCTAAGTTGTTACCTTAATGCTTAAGGAACTTCCTGCAGGATAGAATGTTTATTTCTCAGAGGAAACTGAATTCCCCACTGAGCTACATCTCCAAATGAGAGTCTACACAGCAACCTGAATGAGCTGGAAAGCTCACAGATGCAAAAAGATAAGTTACAACTCCTGGGGTTAGACCCCACTTCAGCTTGATTCTATGATCAATGAAGGGCAGGATCCAGCTGTGGTTTGTACATGCTTCTAAATTCAGAGGTTAAACCACACAGTGCTTTCTCAATCCCTGACTATAAATTGGTATTTACAGTGGATCATGATTGATGGGTGATATATGTAAAACCAGAGATTCGGATTAATTTCCTTAGTTTTCATGACCAACTACAAGTCTTGGTAAGGAAAGGAAGTTCCCCCTGACAAGTGCAGAAGTAGAGAAGTCACAGTACCCAAAGAGTGTGACCTGAAGATTCAACAGGGAGATAATACAGAAGGTAGTCAAGTTATAAGGGTAAAAAAAATGCCTTTATTTCTCAGATATGGCTTAACTACACACACAGTGTTATTAAGCCAGTTTAGGAATTCACTTTGCAGCACAGACCGAACAGAGGAACAGTCAGATATTTCAACCTACAGAGCTTTTCTTCAGTTGTTTTTGATGTTTGGAGTGTCGTTTTGGATTGCTCTGCATGACAGACAGGTCAGACCTTGGGGAAGATCGGTAACCCACATCCTCTGCTGTTATGGGCTTGATAATATGGCCTGCCTTGGTAACAACCTTGGGAGCGGTCAGCTTTTGGAATGCTCTCTGGGTATTCCATGTGGACCCTATAGGATTCTGGATGGTCCTTTCAAATTGCTCATGGTGGGTGAATGGATACGGAAGCACCCGCACCTGGAAGGGAAAGAAAAGATGCAGTGTGAGGCCTAGGGTGCAATACTCTAAAGGCAGCTTAGAGAAGGCACAATGGCTCAGGCTTGCAATCTCAGCATCTGCAAGGCTGAGACATGAGGATCACAAGTTTAAGGCCAGCCTGTTCCATGTACTTCAGTTTTATATGACAATTATAGGGAGGTCAGCTTTTTAGAGGCCAAAGCACCCAAGTGTTCCCATATAATCTTAGGATTGCTAATCTGTTTGAAGTTATTTGGTACCCATACTCTCAGGCTTAGCCAATGGTTTTGGGACTGAAAACCCAGAAGATCACTTCTGTCTGGCTACACCAGTTTCAAGGCTCTTAACCACTGGGTGCTTCTACACAACACTTGTGACCGTAAGAAAAGAAGCCCTGGAGTACTTGCACATCCTTATGGATTCTGATCCTTCTACTCTCTTACTGCTCTCTATTTTCTCCTTTCTTCCTTTTTTCTTTTTTGGAGACAGAGTGTCACTATGTAGGCCAGGCTGGCCTGAACTCTAGAGATCTACTTTCCTCTACCTTTGCTTCTTGATCACTGGGATTATTAAAGGTGTGTGCCATCATGCCTGACTCCGTTCCTCTTCATGGTTGATGTTTTAAATCGGAACCCTGGATGCTTCCAGGTGGCTGCCTGTGCTCAGCTTCATCCCCTTAGGGCATCAGAGGATACAGAGCTGGTTGGCCCAGGCAGATAGCATCAGTCATCTCCCTTGGCACCAATAGGTGTCTAGAAAGGGGAAGTGAATTCCCCAAATAAAGAGTAGTGTGAGAGAAAAGAACCCTTGAACTCCTGGTCCTGGTCTTGTGTTCCACTCCACCAGAGTGCTAGCCTCTAGGAATACTTCCCCAAGCCCAGTACTGAAAGAAAGGCTTCCTTTCCCTTTACGCTAAGGAATCTTTTGTTTGGGTTGATGTTCTTTCTGTATACATTACTGACGGGTTGAAAGATAAGTTCAGTTCAGGAGTCCTCTTCTGTCTTGTTACACTTCATTCTATTGCTCCTACAGTGCCTAGATAATTCAGTGGTTGGGGTTGAATGAACAACACTTTTCCATGGGTCACACATCACATATTCTGCATATCACATCTTTATATTATGATCCATAACAGTAGCAAAGACACAGTTATGAATCAGCAATGAAAATCATTTTATAGTTGGGGGGGGTCACCACAACATGAGGAACTGTATTAAAGGATCACAGCATTAGGAAGGTTGAGAACCACTGAGCTAATTAATTAAGAAGCAAGTTGGGGATGTAGTTTAGTTGGTTGTGCTTGTCCAGCACACACTAAGTCCTAAATTCAATTCCTGAGACCACATAATTCAAGAACTTGGAAAGAGTCAGGAAGAACAGATGTTCAAGGCCATGTTCAGGTATACAGTGAATTCAAAGACTGAGTACACTATTCACGAGATTCCCCTCCAAACAAACAAATCAAAAACAAGATTCCTGGAAATCATTTCACAATTTGCTGTAAATGAATATGGGACCAGCTCTCGGAAGGATGCATGATCCTTTTCGAGACTCATGTTCTTAGTTGTCATCTGGAATTCTGGCCCATTGGAACATTCTCCTTCTAAAATGTGGGTCCCTGCAGATTAAGATAATGTTATCATGCATGGCAGCGAGAGCTTTTTCATCCACTGAACCATTGCAGCAGCCCTCTCAGGTATTCCTTCCCTACTCTTTTATACTCAGTTGTCTGATTATATATTCTCAGCTGGGATTATAGTGGCGACAGTTTCTGCAGTGAAGCTAAGATCAAATAGAATATGACAGAATGGTTATCTTACAGTTTTTTAGAGAGAAGGCCTCATGTATCCCAGGCTAGCCTCCAACTGACTGTAGCCAAGGATGACCTTGAACTTTTGATCTTCCTGCTTCCACCTCCAGAGTGCTGAGGTTAGGGATTTGAGGTATGGTCATGCCCAGCTTTGCACAGTGCTAGTAACTGAGCTCAGAGCCTTGTGCGTGCTAGGCAAGTAATCTAGCAAGTGAGCTACACCCCCCAGCCTCATCTCTGTTCTGTACCCATTACACAGTTCATTCCTCTTTTACATGGGCAAGTGCAATTCATTTCCATATGGTACTCATGAGGGGCAAACCTCAGGACTGAAGGGAACATACAGGTTATGGAATTCAATGTCATTTGGGTCACATGCTCAGCCCTAGAACAGCCCAATTTCTCTCTGGATCTTCTGCCTATTTTTGAATCTTTCCACTTTATGTGACTGTAACCCAACAGTGATGATGCTGCTGATTACTTTTTGAGACAGGGCCTTACCATGTAGCTCCGGCTGTCCTAGAACTCACTTTGTAAATCAAAAGTCCACTTGCCTCTGCTGGGATTAAAGGGGGGTTCCACCACACCAAGCTCATCCCTTGCTTATTAACAAATGATTCCACTTAAAATCCCTTCAGTTTTGTGGACAGACATTGGTTTGCTATCACTTTTCTTGAGACATGGCTCAGATCTCCTAGTCTCTGAGACTACAAATATAAGCCACAGTTAAATTTTACTTTGGGAAGACTCATTTAGAGCGCAATAATCTAGGGTATCAACTGAGTCTGTTACTTGAGGGCTTTTGTTACTACTTGAAAAGACAAATTTGATCTGTTGGTGATCATCAGACATCCTGGCCAGGTATGGTGACTCATAGACTTTAAGGGGTGCTGAAATTAGGGACTGGTCATGCACAAGAGAAAGGATTTGGAGTTCAAGGCCAGCCTGAGGGTACGCTGTCTCAAAAAACACAAAAGTAAACAACCAAAAAAGGAAAATATCACACATCCCTCTCACCACTGCTGCTAAAATAGTTCTCTCAAGCAGGAGAAGCTGCCAATGGAGATCGGACAAAGAGCGCTCTAAACCTCACCTGGTGAGCTGCAGCATGGATGTTACGCTTCTCATTGATAATCACATTGGGCAAATTCCTATCTTTTCTTGGAGGACCTTCAGGGGCTTTAATAAGAAACCTGGAAAACCAAACAGTAAAAGGAGTATTTTAGGGACACATGTCAGGGAGAGGTGGGGAACTATGCTCTTGGCTCTTCTGACAGGATTTTTCCACCTCTTACCGGCGTCTTTTCTTGGCGCTGGGCTTCAGGTCCATCCCGCCCCACTCTCCCCAGCCAGGCAAGGTCAGATCCACATCCTTTGGCTTATTGGCCTGGATAGCTTCTCTCTTCTCTTTTAGGAACTCTTTGATGACATCATCCCCAGCAAAAGCTTCCTTTATCATTTGCTTTTGGTCTCTCCCCACTTCATCTTCCTGGGAAGAAACAAGAGCAAGAACTTTAACTTGTCTCAAGAGTGCTTCATGACAAGACTGAATCCTGGTTATGACATCTTAGCGCCCCCTAGGGGAAAGTGTGGAAAGGACGATCAATTCACAGTAGGAACCAATCAGCCAATCACACTCCAATTTCCCTCTTTCTCTCTAGGGCAAATATCTTCAGCTTGTCATTACGACACAATTTTAAACTTTCAACAAGGAAGTTTTAGGGTCAGAGAAATGATGGTCTGTGTCAATAACAGAAGCTCCAAGGCCTGGCGAGAATATGAACTTAGGAAAAGCAGACAGGGTGCCTTGCTTTCCTAGTTATAGTTACTTGGAGTTGGAGTGGAGAGTAGAACACTAGTTGGTGGAATTGAGTGGAGGGAGCTTTGGCAGATCAGTCACTGATCTCTTAATTGTGGTGCCTGGGATCCAGCCAGAGCATTCAGTGAATGCCTTCCCATTTGCAGGCAGGTTGACAGTTGCCCCAGGAAACTTTCGTGGCTCAGAATTTAGGCAGCATGTGTGGCTCACCTGTGTCCACATGTCTGCATCTGTTAAACTGACACCTGGGCCCAGCATGGTGCCATGGTACTCTGGACCTCTTAACTCTTGAAACACATTCCAGCAAACTCAACTTGTACTGACTGTGCTGTGTGTAAGAAGGACCCATTCTGTTCAACTGTCAACTACCCAACCCAGAGATCCTGGATTTGCTCACCGACTCCTCTATGGTCGTTGGAATTGCCAGTGACGTCACAGAAGGAGTTCGTGTAGTCAGGAGGTTCTGTAGACTGATCAGTTGCTCCTTCTTCTTCTTCCCCTTAGTCTGATTTTGTGGGTTCTTTCTCATCTGCTCCCCTTGTACTGCAGATCTAGGGAGCTCCTTATTTGGAAGACAGTCGTCTTTACCTAGCTCTTCTAGTTCCTCCAGAGTTCGTACTCTCTGTGGCCTCTGCAGCAATAGAGGCTCATCTTCCTCTGGGGCAGGTTCCTCTTCCTGGACCAGGCCAACAGTCTTTGCTGGACTCTCTTTTTGCTTCTTGGATAGATGCTTTTCCTTACTGAGTTTCTTAGATAATGCCCTCAATTCAGATAATACCTCCTGGCTGGTAGAATCTGAAGGGTGGGGGGCATAAAAAGAAAAAAAGCTTCCAGAGATGAAACTTGGAAGTTTCTCAGTTAATAAGTATTTGTCAAGCATCTACTAAGTGCTGGGCACCATGAAATACATTCTAATATGAACAAACAGGATCCCATTTCCTAGGTAATGACCAGGACAGGGGCTAAACTTCCCTGTATAGTAAACTCTACTTGGAAAGATTACCCCAAGTTCTTTTTATTTTTAAAGTGTAGTGCTTGAGATCAAACCCATGGGCTGGTACAAATAATCTGCCATTAAGCTTTACTACCATCCCAAAACTTGGGGGGGTGGGGGAGGGAAAGGGCAGAGGCTACTTTTTCTGAGACATGGTTTCTCTGTGTAACAGCCTTGGTTGTCCTGAAAAATATTCTGTAGCCCAGGCTGGCCTCACAGTCACAGATATCTGCCTGCCTTGCCTGCCTCCCAAGTCCTGGGAGTGCTGGGATTAAAGGCATGTGCAACTATGCTAGCCTCACTTCATACTTAGTTAAATAAACTTTAAATAAAGTACATGTCATCTGTTGAACCTATCTCCCCCTTTCACTACACATTTTAAGCAGATTTTATAACCCGTTGTGTGTGACCTGGTCAAGAAAAAAAAATGAAGTAGGTGCTTTTTATAGCATACTATACTTCTGACCTGCCCACTGCAATAACTAAAGTAGTTTCCTCTCCCTGTGGACCTTGCTTTCTAGCTTTGGCTTGAAGGCTTTGTATCATTTTCCATCTGACTTTGAGACTAATATTTTTCAAGAGTAAGTTTCCAAGCTCATTTCCATGGGGTAGGGGGTGAGGGGTGGGGAAGACATCCATGACTTCCTTGTTTTTAGGCCACTATTCTGCTACCTGACACTAGCTGGGCTTATCTTTCCATTTCCGTACATTATCAGTTCCCTCCTCTCTCCCTAGAGATAGGAATCTTACAATGTATCCCAGATTATCCTCAAATTTGCTCTATTGTCTAGGCTGGCCTTCAACTTCCTATCTCAGTTTCCTAGGCACTAGGACTGTAGGCATGTAGCATACTTGACTTAGCTAACTAGTTCTTAAGGGGCTCAGAAGGAAACTATTGGCATTCAGTAGTTGTACAGGCTTGTTCCACAATCTGAGCTTTTAATGCTGCTTCCCAAAATCCTCAGAAATGACTGCTTATAACTACTAATTCTAGAAATCTCCACTTGAGAACATTTCTGTGAAGATCATCACAATACATTCTAATGACATTGCTTTAAAAATAATTTGTATAGGCTAGGGGGTGTGGCTCAGTAGAATGACCGCCTAGTATGCATGATGCTTTGAATTCAGTCTCTAGCACTGTATAACACTTGTAATTCTAGTACTCCACAAGCAGAAGCAAGAGCATACGAAGTTCAAGGTCACCCTTGACTGTATAAGTGTAAGGCCAGCATGTGAAAAAAAAAAAATTCAAGCAGCCTCTGGAGCATGAATATTGTTTACAGAAAATCTTGTCATGAGACCAAGGATATAGGGAAGTGGCACAGCATTTGCCTAGACTAGTGCCCTGAATCCCATCCCAGTACTACAGTAAATAGAACCTATCATGAAGCCTATAGAACTATTCATTCTGGGGAAGTGGCACCAGATACAGACACAAAATCTAGCAATTTAAAGGGCTAAAAATGCCACTTTCTCCCTTTACAAGCAAGACAGAAACTAAAAGCAAAACTCAGACTCCTGACATTTAAAGCAATTTAACAATTTCTTCAAATCTACCTGTAAGTCTGAAAGCACAATGGACTGACACCACCTTACTAGATGCAAGCCTGTAGGTACCAGGAATGCTAAGCCACGCCCTCTCTTCAAGGGCTGAATGAGTAATGTCTTTCTGAAGAGTATAAGCCCCCAAGAAAATGTGCTGGGGCACATTGCAATTGCTTATCAAATGCTTGAGGAAAAAATGGTTATTATCAATCTGATTTCACTTCACGGACCAAGTCCACACACTCTTGAAAAGCCCGGAGAGAGCCTAATCACTGTGTAGCATGTGTGGGTGGACATTTCTTTTTTTCTCTCAGTCTATCCAGAGCAATATGCAATTGTCCCTTCCACCTCCTCACCTTTTGTTTCTTGGTCACCCACTGGCTCAGCATTCTGGTTGAGCTCAGATCTTTTCCTAAGGGATCTCCTTTTCTCCAATTCCTTCAACAAATCGTCTTCCTCTGCCACTGGCTTTTCATTTCCTTCATTGTTAGGAAACTCATGGTCCGAAGGCTCAGGTGGCTGTTCAGAGACAGCCTGGAGCTCATTTGCTTCTGCATCCTGATTGCAACTCCTGAGCATCCATGGATTGGGGCCATTAGCAGTCTTCTGTACTTCATTCACTACGTCAGGAACTAGGGCTTCTTCCTCATCAGCACCTCCCTCTTCCTCACTCTCTGAAACAATTTGCGGCTTCTGTGTCAGTTCCTTGTTCTTAGCCAACTGCTCTTGCATAGCTTGGCGGGCCTAGAGGAAGGAGTGCCCCAGTGCAGGAGCTTTGTCATTAGTGACCAAAGAAATACCTTTCCTCTCAATTCTTTTTTTTTTTTAAAGATTTATTTATTTATTTATTTATTTTATTAGTACACTGTCGCTGTCTTCGGACACACCAGAAGAGGGCATCCAATCTCATTACGGATGGTTGTGAGCCACCATGTGGTTGCTGGGATTTGAACTCAGGACCTCTGGAAGAGCAGTCAGTGCTCTTAACCGCTGAGCCATCTCTCCAGCCCTCCTCTCAATTCTTAAAGTGGCCTTTCTTTTCCTTTCCTTTTCTCACAGGGTCTCACTAGGTAGCCCAGTCTGACTGTGATTGGGTCATACCTCAGTCTCTCTAGTGCTGGCTTTACAGGTATATATCCCAACATTTCAGCTCAAGTGCTGTCTTTGTTTTTCCTCAGAGTGCTGGGGATGGAACCCTGGGCTTTCAGCATGCTGGGTAAGTGCTCTCTACCACTGAGCTGCAAACCCAGTTTTCCTCTTCAGTCTGTATTTCCTATTGGCACCTACTGTTTAAACAGTACATATACATCTTGTTAGTAGTCATGGAATAGAACAGAAAGACAGTTTCCTTAAGGAAACAGTTGAAATACAAAGATTAAAAAACAACAAAACAAGTTCCTCCCTCTTTTACTAGATCTGCCTTTCATCTTTTTTCCACCGATTTCTTGGTTGGTTTCCTCTCTGCCTCAAACCTTTTCCTGACATCTCTATAGATTCCTTGTGTTCCATTCATCCTTGTGGCTTTTCCAAGTCCCCTTTGCTGCCATCTTTGAGTACTGCTTGTTCTTTCCCTCCAATTCCATCACCTCTTGTCTTGTCCATCTCTTACCTCCAGGTCATATTTTGCCATAATGGCCTTTGACTTGGCCCATTTCCCACTGTTTTGATGCTTAAGGCTCATTCGCTCCTGGAAAGGAAGGACAGGGTGAGACCTGTAACACCTTCTAGGGATAGTTGTTGGCAAAGGTGTGGAAAGCAAGAGGCAATCTCACCATCATTCTGGCTTTTTCCATTTTTTCCAGTTCCTCTAAGGCAGCATCTGGGTCAACCTTCCTCAGCTGCTCAAAGTCTTTTAGGGCTTTCTTGGCCTTTCCCTTCTTCACAATTTTGTGGTATCTACAGGGTAAGAGAGGATGTGGGGACTTAGGTTTGGCTGGAATGCCATATGCAAAAGTGGCCATGCTATCCAAAGGGTTTCCTTACGTAGGTGCTAGAATGGCTATTGAGGAGCTGGCTGACTTGGAGGGAACCAGTATAGAACCTCACCAGACTGACAGGGCTCTCAGACCCTTCAGACTTCTGCAGCGCATACTCTCTGTCTCTACAGCTCTAAGGAGGAACAGAATGAGTTCTACAGAGGCAAAACGGCCAAACACAAGTCCTACTGGATTCAACAGCTGTGGAAAGTCGGAGCTTACTCTGCAGAACCACTCCATGTTCTTTTGGAAGGAAAGTTACCATACAGTCCTCTTCTTGTCAAAGTCAAGCAAGAAGGCTAAAGCCAGAGGAGAGTGTGTTACTAAAGCAGGCACAACTACAGGAGGTTGGTTAGGACAAGATGAGCAGTCATTCCTACTCAGGACTTCTTTTCCTTAGGACACTAATTGTCATGTTAAAAGTTCTCTTCAAAGAGGTCATGATTAGCCACACCATTTTCTTCCAGGAGATCCATAGCTTCCTTACTTTTTACTTTTGATTTTCTTCATTCTTCGAGCCTTGGCTTCATAGTAGGACTGCAGAGCTCGTGCTCTCTGAAGCTCTGCTCTGCGAATCTTAGCCTACAACGAATGACATTTTCAGTGACTCCCGGACTTGAAGTCAAATGCTGGGAGGTGCACAGCATGCCTCAGTGTGTGGAATGGTCTACATACACTACTTACCTCTTCCAGGCTCATGGCTTTCAGGGAGGCTTTTTCCACAGGAGTCAGTAAAGGGTCTGTCACTGGCTGTTTGTTCTTATGGAGGAGGTTAAAAATTTCCTGTTCCAGTGGAGTTCTTGCCTTAAGGAGGTAACAAAGCATGTCAAATGTTAGGTTCTAGTCTAGTTGTACAGAGGACTAGACAATGTCTTATTTTATTCTGAATTTTAAACATTCTCTCTCTTTCTTCCCCCACCCCCCACTCTAAGATAAAGCTAGCACTGGCTGGCCTGGAACTTGCTATAGTCCAGGTTGCCCTGGAAGTCATGGTGCCTTCCTGTCTCAACTTCCCTAGTGCTATGATTATAGGCAGGTGCTACTCCACCCAGCTTGAATTAAAAAAAAAAATTCTAATTAAGACAACTTCTACAAGGAGCCCCAGGCAGTCTTTCATAAATACTTGGGGGATCATTTTTCCCTTATCAGTGTTCAGAAAACAGAACTCTTTTCTTACAGAACTCTTTTCTTAAGAATCAAAGTATGATCCCCTTAAGTCAAATGCTGGGAGGAGAGCAGCACCAAATTGTCATGTTAATTTTAAAAGTCCAAAACTGTCAGAAGTGACGGTGATGCATGCCTATAATCCTTGCACTTGGGAGACAAAGGCAGGATGATAGCTACAAGTTCAAGACCAAGCTCTGTGATACAGCAAGCTTCTAACTCAAAAAAAGTAAAAAAAAAAAAAAATCCCTACAATGCTATATATATTTGAAATAAGCACTAATTAATTACCTTATAGCTGGGAATCTCAGGGTCTTATCATAAGCATCCTTTAAAGAATAGTTCTACAGGGAAGGAGATGTTAGATCTTAAGCATTATTTGCCATTGATCATATTAACTGGAAAAACCAACCCAGAGAACTCGAAGTTTTAATGCGCTTATGTGTTTAGGTAGTGGCAGAGGTTTGAACTCAGGTCCTTGTGTGTGTGAGGTGAGGCAAGTGCTGTGTCACTGAGCTGTAACTCTGCAAAGCTCTCTTGTTTTTATGATATAGGGTCTTGCTATGTATACCACAGCCTGGCAGGCCCCAAACTTCTATCCTAGGCTTCCAAGTGCTGGCATTACAGGTATGGGCTACTATGTCTGACTACCAATTTCTATTCATTACAAACAAGACAAGAACAGTCATTCTTAGGTACATTCTCCTAGTAATTTACTTTATGGCAGGGTATGTGTTTTAATCCCTTGAGCATAAAAAGACATTGCTGCTTAAAAAAAATATGACCTTCATGTAATCATCCAGCTTCTTTGTAGATAAAATTGAACTTGACTCATTTTCTAACTTGGGCTCCAACTCCGGAGTTCCCACTTACTTCTGCATGACAGGTGGTATCTATGGAATAAATAAACTGTGCACCAGTCATTTCACATGTCAATCAAAAACCCCATTTGCTGCTTGACTGACATTGTGAGGATGACTAAAATAATCAGGCCAGTCACACCATGGTCTTGACAAGGCACAGAGACAGCCTTAGGCAACAGCGACTTTCAAACCTCACACACATTATTATGCACGTTTTCCTTCAGTGGCCACATGCATCATGGTCAGTATTAAACTTACAAATATCTGAGCAAAGGCAGAAATACACATCATCACATGTTACACGGTGCTATTGATTCCGCCGTAAACCTATTTTACTGAATGGTAAAGGTGCATGTTCTTCCATTTTTAGTATCTGCAGCAGTGATCAATCACAGGCTACAAAGTGATTTATATTACAATGTTGTAATCGCCCTTCAAATTCAATTCAATTTGCCAACATTTATTGATTGTAGCTACATTCCAAGCACTTGTGAGGGGTGCTAGGACTACACAATTAATTAAGATAGATTCTGTCTTCATCGAGCTCAGAGCAAAGAGCTATATATGCTACTAACAACATAACTTTAATGGGTTAAATGTTATTCCATAAAGGTAAGCACACAGGAAGGAACCATGAATTCTGATTAGGAGATGAGTAGGTTAGACAGGAAAGGAAGAAACTCTTAGATTCAGGCTTTGAGGCTTATGTACAATTCTTTCAGGAGTAGGAAAAGACCAAACAGAGGAGTATAAACAAAAACACAGGTACCAGGAAATGAGTGCTACCTAAGAACAATGTGTTGTTCAGCACAGCTATAACACTAGGCATTTTTATATTCTGTCCTCTAAGCAGAGTTCCTCTAATGGATTTCAATTTAGTTTTTACATTGATTGATTTTTGTGTGTATGTACGTGCGAGTGTGTGAGTGTGTGTGTGTGTGTGTGTGTGTGTGTGTGTGTAACTATACTCATGCCATGATGCCATGGAGCACAGGTGGAAGTTAGAGGATAACTTTTGGGAATCAATTATTTTCACCATGTGGGTCCTGGGGATAGAACTGAAGCTGTCAGGCTTGACAGTTAGCATCCTTACTTACTGGGCCATTTCCTTGTCTCATGATGGATTTTAGGTAGGACAGTGGACAGTGACAACTTTGTGTTTCAAGATAGAAATCTCGATGGTTATGAGGATCTTGACGAGGACAGTGAAAATGAAACTGAAGAGAAAACAGGTTCTGGAGCCATGACAGACTTTATACAGCTAGCCACCACCACATGTGCTAAAGGAATGATCCAGGTTGTCAAGCTAGGTGAACCACTAGGGAGTTAGGCTGTTAACAGAATAAAGGTGGGAGTCAAGGCTTGCAATCTAGAAATGTGATGATCTGTTAGGACATCACAAAGACCCAGTACACAAAGAGACCCAGGAGTTAGATGTCTGCTTTGTCATTGAGGCCAGGAGATTGGTCTGAGACAGATTGAGAATGACAGCCAAGTTACAGAGCAAGAATTAAAAGGCCCACAAAAAGCTGGCGAAATAAGGCATCAGAAGTACAGAAGCCAAGGGTGAGAGCCTACGAATGTGGTATGTCAGTGTGTTGTCAAGTAGACTGAAGACTAGGGGGGCTTTGGATTAGGGAATCTGGAGACTCATTACTAATGTACTTGGAGACAAGTGACAGCGTGACAAGAAGGGGAGGAGGGACTCTAGGAACAGCAGTGGAAATCAGCTCTTCCCAAAGCATGCCCCCAGTAGATGATAGTGACATTTGCTTCATTTTGTAAAAGCTTAAAACAGACTAACTTTTCCATTTTTTTTCTATCCTCAAGTTGTCCCTTGAATCTGCCTTGAACCAGAAATCCTCTAGTCTGCAGGAACTGTGGTTAAGCATACTATGCTAGACAGACTGTCCCTTTTCTGAGATGGATCTCAGGGCACTTCTCTCTGTTTTCCAAGTGCTAAATGCACCCTAGCACTTCACTTTTTATAAAAATTAGTTAGTGGTTCAGATTAGGTCCACTAGATGTATTCATTTTGCTCACAGCCTTTAAAATTCTGGTATAAGAACCAGGTATGGTGGTGCACGTCTGCAATTCCAGGACCCTGAGAGGTTGATGCAAGGACTGAAGGCTAGCCCGTGCAAGATGCTGCCTCAAAACAAAGCGAAACAGCGGGCGTACACTGTGAATCTCCAGCAGGGATACTCATCATTTACTCTGTCTCCACGTTCCCCTTCCTGTCTTTGAGAGACAGTCTCACTGTGGAGCCCTGGTTAGCCTAGAACTCAAAGGGACCCACCTGCCTCTGTATCCTGGGTGCTGGGATTAAAGACATGCATCACCATGTGCAGATTTCACTAGTGATTCCTAATGAACTCCCTCCGAGAGCATACTGAGACAAAGGATTAATGGGGAACACTTTGAGAAATGCAGGTGCCAACTGAAAGGAAGCAGAGATGGGGTAGAAGTTACCTTATGTCCTTTACAGCACTTTGCATTTCACAAATGCTTTCTCCTGCGTTGTCTCAATTCTCTTCAGCTGCAGTTGAATGCAATTTTACAAAGCAAAACCAAACTACAGTGCAGGCTTTTTGATTGCCCACCCACAGAAATCCTGATTTATTACCCTCTTTGGTACGCGGAACTCTTAATTTGCGAGAAAAGAACTGGAAGCTGCTAGCCCAAACTTCTTCCTTTATCTCTTTGTACCATACTAGCACAGGTTCTCAGGGTAAGTATAGTTTATGGGCCTGCTCACTGAGGAAGAGGCTGTGCCACCCTCAGTGTAGTCTCCTTCACCAACATGGTACTTCTGCTGTCTCCCAGATTATACTCATTTGGAAAAGGCAAGGTGCACAACAGTATGTAAACTACTACTTTCTCCATCAAAAAGCAGGTAGAAACCATGAATATATAAAACTCTAAATCAACAATAAAAATTGAGATGGGGTGGGGTGAGATGTCACTCACTATATCTTCTATACTTTATTTGTTGCTGTTATTGTTTGAGACATGGTTTCTCTGTGTAGCCCTGGCTGTCTTGGAACTTGCTCTGTAGACCAGGCTGGCTGCAAACTCAAGAGATCTGCCTGCCTCTGCCTCCCAAGTGCTGGGATTAAAAGTGTGTACCACCGCCGGGTGGTGGTGGCGCACGCCTTTAATCCCAGCACTTGGGAGGCAGAGACAGGCAGATTTCTGAGTTCGAGGCCAGCCTGGTCTACAGAGTGAGTTCCAGAGCAGCCAGGGCTACACAGAGAAACCCTGTCTCGAAGAACCAAAAAAAAAAAGTGTGTACCACCACCACCCGGCATACTTTATATTTTTGAACTCTGTAAATTGTTACTACCTCTTTCATCTCTCCCTAAATTCTCCCTTCATCCTGCAGCCACACTTTATACCTTTGTATCTCCTTTTCACGTAGAAAAGGAATGATCCTAGAAAAAGAATGGTAGTGACTTCAAAAATACCACCAGAAAACAGAACTGAAGTCCTTAAGAAACGACTATTTGTTTAGTTATAGCGCAAGCAATATAATTTTAACTAGCTTTGATTAGTTCAATTTCCTGACATAAAAAACACTATCCTATCCTATCCTATCTATCTATCTATCTATCTATCTATCTATCTATCTATCTATCTATGACTATTTTTTCTTGAACACAGACCAGTGTAGCAGAGACTCCATACCAATAGTATGGTAAAGTAGACTGGCTGTTCTGAAGTTGTTCATATAGTAAAAATTAAAGACTCTAGGGATCAACTTTAATTTTGCCAAGTGTGTAACTGCCATTCTACTTGAAACCCATCATTCACCATCAACATCATTTCATTTATAAGGTTTCACAACCACTAAAATGGGAAGAATGCCTAATAATAAAGAAGAACCGGTACATTAAAACCCATTCAACTTACATACCCATGATTATGCAAACTGGCAGGGGTTAGTGTTTGGGAAACACAGCTTTAAAATATTCCTCTCAACTCAGTCACAACTTACTTGCTATAGCTGTTATTAAAGAGTAATATATCATAACAAAAAAAGCCTAAAGGGTTAAGAAAGAAAATACACGGGCTGGAGAGATGGCTCAGTGGTTAAGAGCACTGGTTGTTCTTCCAGAGGTCCTGAGTTCAATTCCCAGCAACCACACGGCAGCTTACACGTTTAACTCCAGTTTTAGGTCTTCTGACATCGTCACACAGACAGACATGCAGGCAAAACACCAAGAACATAAATAAAAATCAATTATATAAAAGAAAAAAAAACTTAGTATGTTCCCTTTATCTTTGCAATTGTCTTAGTTTGGATTTCATCACTGTGAAGAGATGTCCAAAGGCAACTCATATAAAGGACAACATTTAACGGGCTGGCTTACAGTTGCAGAGGTTCAGTCCATTATCATCATGGCAGGAAGCATGGCAGTGCACAGGCAGACATGGTGCTGGAGGAGCCGAGGAGTCTACATTTTGATCCGAAGGCAAACAGGAGAAGACTCTCTTCTGCAGGCTAGAGCCTAAGGATAGGACCTCAGAGCCCACCCCCACAGAGAGGCACTTCCTCTATCAAAGCCACACCTCTTAATAGTGTCACTTCCAATTGGCCAAGCATATTTAAACCACCACATTCTACTCCCTGGCCCCCATAGGCTTGTTCAAACGCATGAGTCTATGGGGCCAATATTTAGTCATAGCACACGTAATGCAAAATACATTTTTCCCACTTGAAAAGTCCCATAGCACACGGAATGCAAAATACATTTTGTCCCACATCAAAAGTCCCATAGTTTATAACAGTCTCAACAATGTTTAGAAGTTCAAAGTGTCTTCTGAGATTCATGCAATCTCTTAACTGTAATCCCCTATCAAAATCAAAAAGCAGATCACTTTTTGCATTCGCTAGATACTTCTAGTATCACAGGATATACATTACCATTCCAAAATGTCATAATTTGGAAATATTAGACCAAAGCAAGACCAAAAATGAGCTGGACAAACTCCAAACTCCGATGTCCAACTCCTTTCAGCTTTGATGACTGCAATGCAATTCTTTCTTTTGGGCTGGTTCCACTCCCCATTAGCAGCTTTCCTTGGCAGCTATCCCATGGCTCTGGCATCTCTAACATTTTGGGGTCTCCAAGGCAACTTCAACTTCACAGCTTCTTATTCCAATGTCTGGGATCCACACATGATCTTCTGGGCTCCTCCAAAGGGCTGTCACTTCTCCAGTCCTGTTCTCTAGCACTCTAGGCTCTGATTGACTCCACTCCACTGCTGCTGCTGTTCTTGGTGATCATCCCATGGTACTGGCATCTCCAATACACTGGGGTCTTCTGCTGCAACCAGGCTTCACCAATAGCCTCTCATAGGCTCTCTTCATGGTGCCAAGCCTCAAATCCTTTGCATGACCTCTTCAGTCCTGGGCTGTTAACTGCAACTGAGGCTGCACCTTCACCAGTGGCCTTCCATGGCCTCTCACAGTGCCAAGACGCAGCTGCTCTTCATGACCCCTTCATGCCTCAAACCCAGTACCACCTGGGTTATTCTTACATATTACCAATTTGGCTGCTAGCACAACGTCTATCTCGAACACAGCTTCTTTGTGCTCCCAGAAAATACTTCCTACAAGATTTCACCTCAGTGATGCTGGTCTCTTCTTAATCACTACAATTTCTTAGCTCCAGCTAACCAGCATCAACTGTCTTAATAGTCTCTTCTATTTTTCATTCTAAAGCCAGAGCCACATGGCCGAGGCTGCTGAGATCTGCTACTTGCTGGGGCTGGAACATGACCCCCTTGTTCTATGACACCACCAGCAACTTTGTTTTCCAATGGTTTTCTTCACTGACTAATCTTGGCTGGTCTGTGGCTGACCTTAAACTCAGAGCTCTGCATGCCTGTCTCCTGAGTTTTGGGATTAAAGGTGTGTTGTGTACCACCACACCTAGACCTAAACTTTTCTTTACCTAGAACTTGCTCTGTAGCAGGCTGGCCTTGAACTCAAAAGAGATCTGCTCACTTCTCTCTTGGAATTAAAGGCATGTGCTATCATGCCTGGACATAAGCTTTTCTTTAATTTCTTTTCACAAGATCTGCGTAAGTTCTGGATTGGAGTTCATTCCAGATATAGTCAAGTTGACAACCTTGAATAGTTAACCACTCTCTTAATTCCATTTAATATCCTTGAACACAGAATTTAGCTCCATTTCACTTCCCGATGCCCCTTTAATACTTGAACCATACATTGTGTATTTTTCCTTTCTCAGTTTGCTCCGTCTAATCAAAGGCTCTTCATAAGAGTGAACCACCGGACAGAATCTATGACAGATCTGAGATGCCATTTTGAGATTTCCTTTGTAATTTAGTCTAAATCTCTTCACTTTAGCCTTAGACAGACTCTTCAGACAAGGGAAGCATGGCAGGTTGGAGACAGACATGGTGCTGGAAGAGCCAAGAGTTCTACATCTTAATCCAAAAGCAGCCAAGAGGAGACTATCTTCTGCAGGCAGTCTGGAAGAGGGTCTCTTCCCCACTGGGTAGAACCTGAGCATGGGATCTCAACCCCCACCAACATAGTGACACGGTTCCTCCAACAAGGCCACACCTTCTAATAGTGCCACTTCCCATGGCCCAAGCGTATTCAAACCACCACAGTAGTCATATGCTAGGATTATAGGTAATCCTATAATCCTGTGTGCTTCTCTTTGTGGTGAGATGTTTTAACATGAAAACCAATAAAGCCATGCTTTAAATACAAGAATAACAAACAAACAAAATGATTATAGAGCTACTATGTGGCTTAGCTATTACCTGACAGTTAGAATATAGTATCTTTTCTTTTTCTGACCACTAAATAAAATGACACAAACTGGCATAATCTACTCATTAAACTGGTTGAAGGTTCTGTTTGAATCTTCAAGGTTCGCCCACTCTCATTTTGTTGCACTCACCTTCCACTCACGATACACATGTTCCAGAGGAGCAAAAGAAGACTGCTCCTTCTCCAGAGGAAAAACCAGTTGCTCTGCTTCCCGGTTCTTCTTAACAACAGAATCCCATTTGGAAAGGGTTTGTGAAGCTTTACTGAATGCCACTTCTCTTCGGATCTAAACCAGGCAAAGTACATAAAAGGAAAGGGCCATGAAATTCCACATCAAACTCAGTAGAATAACAAGACACCTGGAGGCAATGTTTCTTAACTCATCCCTGTCCCAATAATCAGAAGCCTAGAGATGAACTTGCTTACTTTGGAAGACTTCAGGTGTCCCTAGTTTATCTTCCCTTCTCAGTTCAAGGTCTTCCCTTTAATGGACCACTTTCTATGTAACTTACCTGTTCAACCTCTCCTTTGTGAAGAGGTAATTCCAGAGTCTTCTTTGCTTTGACTCTATTCAGTTGCTTTTTAACAGCAGCCAATGAGGATGAAGGTTTAAGAGATCCAAGCAGATCAGAAAGGGCCAATTTTTCTCCAGATCCTGTGGAAACGCCAATTTTCTGGTCAGGTTTGGAAGTGAGACAAAACTCTAAATATAATGGAGGGAGTGGCCTGACAAATGGACAGGGGAGTACAAAGAATTCTTACTTCAATCCTTTATCCCTAGCCATAGTGACACCTCTAATCGTGAACATTTCTAAACACCTGCTGAATCAATTCAATTAGCTTACTAGTAATACACTGTTAACTGTTCTGAGAGGTTTCCACTGGTGTTTATTAGGAGCACAAAACTCATTCAAGCTACCTATGTTCAGAACAGGGTGAAAAAAATTGGTTATCTACACACAGCAATTATATTGCTTACTAGACCTTTTTTTTGTTTTTTTTTTTTTGTTTTTTTTTTTTTTTTTTTAGTGGGAACAAATAGTATCAGAATGTAACCCTGGCTGGCCTACAACTTGCTAAATAGATCAGGCCAGGCTGGCTTTGAACTCATGGATCCACCTGCTTCTGCCTTCTGAATGCTAATAAAAGGTATAAGGCATCACATATGGTGGATCATGTTTTGTTTTGTTTTTTAAGATTTAGTTATGTAGTATAAGTATATAGTATATAGTATATAGTTATGTAGTTCTGCCTGCACACCAGAAGAAGGCACTAGATCTCATTATAGATGGTTATGAGCTACCATGTGGTTGCTGGGAACTGAACTCAGGACCTCTAGAAAAACAGCCAGTGCTCTTAACCTCTGAGCTATCTCTCTTAGCACTTGTTTGGTTTTTTTTGAAACAGGGTTTCTCTGTATAGCCCTGGCTGTCCTGAACTTGCTCTATAGACCAGGCTGGCCTCAAAACCAAGAGATTCACCTGCCTCTGCTTCCCAAGTGCTGAGATTAAGTGTGCCCCACCACTGCCCAGTCTATCATGTATTTTGTGTGTTACCATTTTTTAAAATGTTTATTTATGCCGCGCAGTGATGGCACACACCTTTAATCCCAGGACTTGGGAGGCAGAGGCAGGCGGATTTCTGAGTTTGAGGCCAGCCTGGTCTACAGAGTGAGTTCCAGGACAGCCAGAGCTATCGAGAAACCCTGTCTCAGAAAACCAAAAAAAAAAAAAAAAAGCTTATTTATATACATAAAGTATATAAATACTTGCCTCTGTCTTAAGACACAAAAAAAGAGAGCATTGGATCCCACTACAGATGTTTGTGAGCCACCATGTGGTTGCTAGGAACTGAACTCGGGACTTCTGGTAGAGCAGTCAGTGCTCTTAACCAATGAGCCATCTCTCCAGCCCTGATCATGTATTTTAAATAGGGATTATACTGTCCTTTTACCCTCCTCCCAACTCAGGGGATAGAAATGGGCTCTTGGGAGGTAGGGTACATTAAACATAAGCAAACCTTAGATACTACTAAGCTTTGTGCCTTTCTAAGACTTAGTATCTGTTCATTCTTTAGTTACTGTTTTCCAGGGAATCAATAGGGTTGAAAAAACTTATGACATCTCTTCCTAGGTCAGCCATGTGAGGATCTGTCACCATGTTTCCTTTCTGTGGAGGACTAGGATTCTCTGTCTTGAGCCTTTGCCCTGTGACATGCTGCATTGGGAAGAACCATAAGGAAGATGCTGTTATTTCAGAAGCCAGAAGAAAAACAAAACCAGCTCCTATAGGTTAAAGACCACAACATAAAACCCAAGACTCTAGAGGAAAAGATCACCACCAGGGTCAGCGTTAACTGGTCATAAAAGGAAACTTCCTGTTGTAATGGATGGGATAGCAGAGACTCAATAACCCAAGTGACTGTTGCTTGTAACTCAAGTATACAGTGGCACAATGCTTAGCATAAATGAATATCTGTATTATCATCTTTAAGGGAACACTGTGAAAGAGGGAGGAAAGGGGTGGGCTGATATACGGCAGTTTCTTCAAAATGGAAACATTCTCATAGGAGTGGGACGGAAGGCTCATGAGGTAAACAAATGTCATGTGTCTGGGAAAGTTGAAACTTACTAAAATTATCCAAGTGCACCTCCCTCATCCTTACAGCTGAAGTTAACAATTACTGAGGGAAGGGACCCAACTAGTCATCTGCAGAGAGGTTTTCTTGTTCAATTCCTGCAAGAAGTCTAGGGGCAAGACACAGATATACCACTCCTAAACATATGCCCAAAAGATGCCCCATTATATCACAAGAACACTTGCTCAACTATGTTCATAGCAGCTTTATACTAGAAACCGAAAACAACCTAGATGTCCCTCAACCGAAGAATGATAAAGACAATGGGGTACATCTACACAATGGAATACTATTCAACCTTTAAAAACAAAGACATCGTGAATTTTGCAGGCAAATTGATGGAACTAGAAAATATCATCCTGAGTGAGGTAATCTAGACTCCAAAGGACATGTATAGTATGTACTCATTGATAAGTGGATATTAGCCATAAAATACAGGATACCCATGCTACACTCCACAGACCCAAAGAAGTTAAATAAGAACAAAGGCACAGATGATGATGCTTGAAACTTACTCAGAAGGGGAAATAAAATAGGCATCAGAAGTGGATGGAGGGAGGGAACTGGGTGGAAATTGGTGGAGTGAATCTCTGGGACTAGCTGCAGACCTGGGATGGGGGAGGCTAAGGGGAGTCTATGGGGATGACCCTAGCTGAGAGTCCTAGCAGTCAGTGGGGGATACAGAGACTGAAATGGCCACCTCTTGTAGTCAGGTATGACTTCCAGTGGAGGGAGGGGACGTCAATCCACCCATAAAACCTTCAAACCAAAAATCTGCCCTGCCTACAAGATTCACACGGATAAAGATGGAAAGCAGAAGTTGAGGGAAGGGCCAGCCAATGAATGGTCTAACTTGAGATACATGTCATGGGAGAGAACCAACCCCAGACAGTATTACTGACACTCAGCTATGTTTGCAGACAGGAACGTAGCATAACTGACTCTTGAAAGGCTTTATCCAGCAGCAGATGGAAACAGAGGCAGACCCACAGCCATACATCAGGTAGAGCTTGGCGAGTCTTGTGAAAGAGAAGGAAACCACAAAAAGACCTATAGAGACAACTAACCTTGGGCCCATTCAGAGACCGAGGCACCAATCAGAGAGCACATACGGGCTGGACCTAGGTCCCCCATATATTTGTAGCAGATGTGCAGCTTGGTTTCCATGTGGGTCCCCTAACAAGTGGAGCAGGAATGTCTCTCACTCTGTTGCCTGCCATTGGATCCCCTTCCCCCCTACTTAGACTGCCTTGTTGGTCCTCAGTGGGAGAAAACGTGCTGGGACTTGATGTACCAGGGCAGAGTGGTACCCAAGAGGGGCTTCCCCTTCTCTGAGAAGGGAAGGGGGTAATGAGGGGTTTAAGAGTGGGACTGGGAGGAGGGGGGCTGTGATCTGGATATAAAGTAAATAAATTAAAAGATTAATGGAAAAAAAAAAGAAGTCTAGGGGTAGAGTATTCTTGAGTCCTCACTAGTGCTGTCAGTAATGCAGCTGCTTTTGGGTCATTCTAACTACTATAAGTAATCCTTCACCCATATTCCTGTTAGTCACCCCAACATAAACTCTTTGGTTCACATGCAGCAAACAATTCTAACAAGGCTCCAATCAGGACTAAGAGCCAAGATATTGTGTTGGGCAAACCCTTCTACATAGAACTTGATTTCCTCAAGTTCCAGTGGAATACCTGTCTATTCTAGCATCACAAGAGAACGGATATATAAATGCAACTGTGAACACTAAAGAGCTATACATACACAACAGCTGAGTTGGGAAGAGGAAGCTACCATCACTCCAGTCACTTTATATGGCACACACATCTTGGAAGTGCTTGGGAGGCAAAGGCAGGTGGATCTCTGTGAGTTCAAGGCCAGCCTGCTCTACAGAGTGAGTTCCAGGACATCCAGGGCCATATATACCATGTCTCAAAAAAAAAAAAAAAAAAAAAAAAAAAGAAAAAGATTCAAGTTACTTTATGCAATAAGCATCTTACTGAGCTCCATAGGAGGTACTGATCTTAGCATTCTTCATGTGACTACCCTTAATCTATCCTTACAGGTAAGTATTTATGGTTCCATGCATAAATACCTTTTTAAAACTTACCTTCAGAACTAACATTAAACTCAGACACTTTCAGACCAGCCTCTGATCTCTCAGACAATTTCCACCTGAAATAGGGGGAAAATGATATAATAGAAATAGACATATTTACTTGGGAAACACTAACACTTATTTTCATTACTATGTTTCTAAAGTACTGGAATCTGGGGTTTCATATATGCTATGTAGGTGCTCTACCCATCAGCTACACCTGTAAGTACAACATTTCTTTTTTCAAAGGCAGTTTTGGTTTTATAGCCCATGCCCCCAACGGTCTGCTTTTGTCACGGAGCAACCAAACTGTTCCTAAACATAGTAACCCGATCCATATCTCATCTTTTAATATAGTCTCAGCCCTTGAAAAATACAATGTAATACAAGGAAAAAGATTTAAGCACAAATGGATTTGAATCCAGGGCTAGTCACTTACAAATGATTGACCATGGAGATAAAATTTAATTACCTTCTTTAATGGGGTTAATATGTATTCGATGCTTCAAAAGACTATAGGTAAATTAAAAGTCCCAAAGTAAAATGTTCCATACAATTATCGCGATAAGGAAAGCAGTCAATAATCATAGTTTGTTCTTTTAAAACTATACGCTACACACAGGTGCTAGGATTGTTACAAGAGACAATAAAAGTCTCCGAAATGGCTAGTTATACAGTCAGTAAAATGGCATAAGAGGTAAATGCCATTGCTGCCAAGCCAAACTATTTGAATTTGATCCTCCACATGGTGGAAGGAAAGAAGCAACTTCTACAAGTTGCCTTGTCATGTCCATTTGTGCTACATAGCACATGTATGCCCACACACAATTATAAGGTGTCCAACCTCTCAGGGATGTTACCTATTTTGTCCATTAAGGGAACCAATTGCTTCCAGAAGCTTTTGATGCTTTCTTTCTCCATCACTGTCCCCCTAGATACAGAAAAGGAAAATTCATCAGGATAATGGAGGGAAAAGACAACTTGGAAACAAGTCCATACAAAAATGTTGGTTTTGGTTGGTGGAAAAGAAGGGAATCAGATGAGATATTATATGTAAACACTCTAATACAAGCTGGAATTGGAATTAGGAATTGTTTCATAATTCAAACATTATCTTCACAAGCAATATAGAGCCTTGGTAATTTGGGAGCTAATGTCCTGATTTTAAGAAAACAGCTAAAAATGTTGTTTTTACAAAAATACTTCATACAGAAACACTTAATAGTTCAATTCATAGCCGCAGTTATCAAAGTGTTTTTTTTTTTCCTCAGGAGATAACTGCCCTTTTTGAGACAGGGTCTCACAATGTAACCCTGGCTAGTCTGGAACTTGCTCTTTAGACCAGGCTGGCCTCAAAATCCTAGCGATCCACCAGGCTCTGCTTCCCATGCCCTGGTATTAAAATATTCTACATAGAAAGAAGAAAAACAACTTAAGTAGTTTTGTCAGGGAATAGGTTTAAAATTCACATAGCATCAGATAAAGTTCCAGGATAGCCAGAGCCGCATAGAGAAACTCAGTCTTGAACCCCCTCCCCCCCAAAAAAGATAACGAGTTTAGTTACCTCCCTTACACCTACCTCATCTTCACTGGCACTCAAGGGGTAGTTGGTTGACAAATCCATTAGATCGTCCTGCTGGCTCAAAGCCTGAAGGCTGTTTTAAAAAGGTAACATAGAAACATTAGCCCATGAAATAACTCTTCTGACTAAAATAACTTTTAAGCCAACTGTTCTCAACCTGTGGGTCAAGACCCACAAGGGCCAAAAGGTCCTTTCCCATTGGGTCACATGTCAGATATCCTGCACATCAGATATTATACACGTTACAATTCATAACAGTAGCAAAACTGCAGTTATGATGAAGTAATGAGAATAACTTGGTTGTGAGGGGTGCTGGGGTCACCACAACATGAGGAACTGTATGTAGTGAAGGGTCTAGCAGCATTAAGAAGGTTGAGAACTACTGGTCTAAACAAATATATGTTTGTTCAGTTCTGAGTATTCTTATCTGAGAAGAGGTACAAAAACAAAACAGAAGGTAATTAGTTAAAATGTTTTTAGAAAGGAGCTGAGCATCACTTCCAAGATGACAATATCCAATATCCAAATGGGAAAGATAACACTGGTCAGTCAGTGACTGACGCTACATTTCTATTATTTACTATGCTTCAGTTTCCCATTGATGGTACTGCTGTCTTTTGAAGCAAAGGCAGTTTCCTAATTAACCATTTAAACGTGTTTTTTGTTTTTAGGTTTTTTTTTGAGACAAGAGGGTTTTTTTTGTGTGTGTAGCCATAGCTGTCCTGGAACTCGCTTTGTAGAACGCCTGACCTTGAACTCACAGAGATTAATTAGCCTGACTCTACCTCCCAAGTGCTGAGATTAGAGGCGTGCGCTGCCATCAACTGGGTAACCTTTTAAACATTGGAAAACATTCTGTTAATGCTTCTATGCATCTCCCACCGCTCAGATGCCTTGATTAAGTGCAACTTATTAAAAATGTAATCTTGATAGTTTGTTCCAAGAACTGGGGACATAGGGTAATGATTGAAACCAACCAAATAAACCGGTGTTTAAGGTGATTAGAATTTAGGAAGAATCTAATACTTATCTCGGTATTTACTAGGCAAACATTACCAAACAGACATTTAGATTTTCTAACGTTGAGGGGTAACATGAAATACCAGAGGGGAAAAAATACTGTGGGTGACCCTCGCGCAACTTGCCACTCAACTGCCAGCGCAGGTCGCGCGTGGCAGAGGCAGAAAACGGGCACGTGACAAATAAAGAAAAATCAATTAATAACTTTGCCAAGAGACAGACGACCATCAGACCTAACAACGATGCAACTTAAGAGCCGAAAAACAGAGGAGCAAAATCAATTTAAACTAAGGGGCTTTAGGATTAATCGCCGATATATTAACTACTAGCAGAGTCTTGGGAGGCGAATCTCTAACAAACAGCAGTTTGGCTTCCAATTCCCTAAATACAGAAAATTCAGCCCTCAAAAATACCCGGGAATCTCCTTTCCCTTTTGCGTCTTACCTCTTCGTAGCTTTGATCGAGTTCATCACAGTAGCCGGCAACTCACATGGATCAAGAAACGGAAGCCAAAGAGAGAGCAAGCTTCTTGCCTGCCGCAAAGCAATTTTTGCTTCCGCTAATCACGTACGACAATGTGCATCATTTCCGCCCAGGGAGAGGCTTGCAAAGTATTGGAGGCGCTTCAGGATTGGTCGATGTAAAACCCAGGCTGCCTGCCAGTGGGCAGCAATGCCGGTAGGTGGGACTTACCAGTCCCCATTCTTCTTGAAGGTTTCTAGCTTAGGGGTGTCGCTTCTCCGGCATTCGGTTTTCTTGCTGTCCAAGATTAGTGAGGTGAAAGCGAAGGTGCTATGCTGTCAGGGACGGAGCTAGAACCAAAACCAACCAAACAAAAACAAATCCTCCAGAGCCAGGTCCCCGTTGGACTCTGTCACACAACTCAGCACTGGCCAGCCCCAGGCTGTGTTGAACTCCCACACAGTAGCCAGAAAGAACGAGGAGACGTGAACTATCAAGTTTCTTTCCATCTTAAGGGAAATTCCTTTTGATCCGGTGTACCTGTGATTGCAGCTCATTGTTCCCTTTTTCTGTACAAGAAAATGTCACTCGAGAATGTGTTATGAGGCAGAAAGCTCTCTTCTATTCCGTCCAGTGTAACATAGTAGGACCCTTACTCACACGCACACACAAATCTTATTTTATCCGGTCCATAGCTCACTGGCAGACAAGTATGAGGCTGCAGTTTCTCATCTCTTATCTTTCCTCAGCACCTTACCTGCTGGGATTACATGCTTGTGGTATCACGTCTGCATAATACTTTTTAAATAAACCTATCTATGTGTGTGAGTGCATTTGTGTGTGTGTGTGTGTGTGTGTGCGCGCGCGCGCGCGCATGCCACTGCACACATGGAAATCAGGACAACCTGTAGGAATTCCTTCCACCATCTGGCTTCAGGGGATTAAATTGAGGTTGTCAGGGCTGGGGGTAGAGTGCTTTTGACCAGCCTGAGACTTCTTGCATAAAAGCATCCTTGTCATTTCTTTTAGGTCATTTCCATTTTGTTTTCTCCAACAGTTACCCTGAAATTTCTTGTGATAATCGGCAACACTCTAAAATTCTTAAGTAAAATAATACTGTCTCATCTTTGTGTTCTCAGAATTGAATATGGGATTTGATAGTTGTTTTTGTTTTTCATTATTCATTCAGTAATTTTTTTTTAATCACTGACCATGTTCCAGGCTTTTAGGGGTTACTGATACACTGGTGAACAAAGCAAATATTTTCATGTTTTTTTTGTTTGTTTGTTTGGTTGGTTTTTTGAGACAGGATTTCTCTGTGTAGCCCTGGCTGTCCTGGAACTCACTCTGTAGACCAGGCTGGCCTCGAACTCTAGAACTCAGAAATCCGCCTGCCTCTGCCTCCCAAGTGCTGGGATTAAAGGCCTGCGCCACCACTGCCCGGCTCAACGATATTTTCTATGGTTTCATAGACACTACTTTCCAGTGGACTTAAGGACAATTTTTAAAACAGCATTTATTTTTACTTTACATTCTACTCACTGCCCTCCTCCCAGTCAATTTTAAATGTTGTTAAAACTCCATCCTAGAGTTCCCTTGCTACTGTCCTGGTATCTTAGCTCTATGACCATCTTCTTCCATTTCCTTGTTGTGTGTTTCTAATGCATTTATTCCCTAGAGTAAGTGATGCTATTCCCTAGAATCTTACTCTCAGTCCTCTTTGCTTGTTCTATATGTTCTCCCTGGGACGAATTGCTTTTAAAACTAATATGTGGACTCAAAAACTACACTACTAGCTTATATGTCTTTCTTAAACTATAGACTACTGTCTCTGGTTGCCTTCTTTGTCCCCACAAGTGAAACAGAGGTGACCTTCTTTCTGTTGTACCTTTTCCACCAGAGTTCTATTGTATTCCTCATTTCTATAATGGATCAGTAAGTCAACCAATCAAGTTAGATATCCGAGAGTCATCTTAGATTCACCATTCCACGGTTATTCCTCATCTCTTTTACTTCCTGACTCTATTAAATACCTCCCCACCTTTCTGCCATTATTGTCTTTCTATTAACTTAGATTCTTGCAATTTCAGGTCTGTGGTATTGCAGTAATCTTATAGAAAAGGGATATTGTAGCATTTTGAATATGAGTTTTGAAGTCAGATTATTTGTGTTTGAAACTTCTGTCAGTTATTAACTTGGTAATTACTTTTTAACATATTTAAAAGGTTATTTTGTGTTTGTTAGGGGTACACATGGCTTGCTGCATATAAAGGTCAGGGGACAATTTGTGGGACTCAGGTCTCCTTGCACCATATGGGTTTCAGGGATTGAACTCAGGTCAGTCTTGGAGGCAAGCACCTTTACCTGCTTATTTTGGTCCAAGATTTGTAATTCTTAAGTCATTTAGCCCCTCTGTGTCTTTGTTTATTTTTAATCTTTAAGATTGGAAAATAAAGCCAGGCATGCACCAGTGGAAAATGCCTGTATTAGTAGAAGAAAAAAGAGGTATGAAGACCAGGAGCTGAACCTCATCCTCACCTACACAGTGAGTTTTGTGATCAGTCTGAGTTACATGAGACCATTTCTCAAAAAAGGGGGGAGATAATACTACATTAGGCAGTTGTGAGAACTAAATAAATTAATATGTACAAGAAACAGTCAAATAAATGGAAATCTCTCAGAGTACACGGTCAAACATCAAAGGCTCAATAATTGTTAACTGTAATAATGACAGTTGTTTCAACCAGTTTTTCAGTAGTTAGTCTCTCCATCCAATTATGTAATTAGACCATATCATGCCCCTACTTAAAAGATGCAAAAACACTATTATTAAGGAGATAAAATAAAATACAAGGTTAGTCTATCCTCTTTGAAATACTTTCCACTTCCCTAAGACACTTCAAATTATATTTTTATGAATAGATGATGTTTTAATCTTTTCTATACAATATCAATAAGAACATTTTTAGAAAACATTGATTTCTTTTTTTGAGTCAGGGTTTCCCTGTGTAGTTCTGGCTGTCCTGGAACTTGCTCTGTAGACCAGCTGGCCTCAAACTCAGAGATCTTCTTGCCTGTGCCTCCCAAATGCTGGGATTAAAGGTGTGGACCACCACACCCAGTCCTTCCAGTTCCCTCTAATGTAGAACTATAGGAATGTCAATGACATATTGTAGCTGAAACCTAACAGATAAGAAGGAACCAGTTTTGCAAAGAACTGGGCAAGAATTATCAGGGCAGAGTGATCAGGGCATAGTTAACAAAGTATTTACAGTCTCTCAGGGTCGGGAAGGGTTTACAATATTTTAGAAGCAGATAGGGCAGTGCGGCTGGACCACAGTAAGGAGGTAATAACAGACTAGGGCAGAGAGATAGAGTTGAGGTCATGTGGAAGCTCATAGATGATGGAAGAATTTTAATTTTACTCTAAGTAAAATGGGTGACAAATAATGTAGTTATGTAGAAGACTGACATTTTGAGGTTTTTTTTGTTTGTTTGTTTGCTTTTGTTTTTTTTTTTTTTTGACAGGGTTTCTCTGTATAGCCCTGGCTGTCCTGCAACTCACTCTGTAGACCAGGCTGGCCTCGAACTCAGAAATCTGCCTGCCTCTGCCTCCCAAGCGCTGGGATTAAAGGCGTGCGCCACCACTGCCCGGCGACATTTTGAGTTTTATAAATATTTTTCCTGCTGTGTGGAGAGTAGATTAAAGATGGGGAAGAGCAAAACAGAAACCAAGCTGGATGTGGTGCTACACGCCTTTAATCCCAGCACCACAGAGGCAGAAGCAGGTGGCTATCTGCGACTTTGAGACCAGCTTGATCTAATAAAGCTAGTTGCAGAATAGCCAAGGCTCTGTTACACAAAACCCCTGTCTTGAAAAACCAAACCGCTGGGCGGTGGTGGCGCACGCCTTTAATCCCAGCACTTGGAAGGCAGAGGCAGGTGGATTCCTGAGTTAGAGGCCAGCCTGGTCTACAGAGTGAGTTCCAGGACAGCCAGGGCTACAAAGAGAAACCCTGTCTTGAAAAACAAAGCAAAAATAATAATAATAATAATAAAAAGAAAAACCAAAGCAACCAAACAAAAGGAAGCAGAGAAAAGCCAGGAAGCTATTGTGTACTCAGCAAGAAAAAGTGATGGTTTGGAATAAGGTAGCACTATGGAGGCAGAGTCACTGATGAACCTACCAGAAGATTGTGGGAGGAAAGGGAAAAACTAAGTAAGAAGTTCTGGTTTGAATAAATGAATGGGTAGTTAGGCTATTTACTGAGCTGGAGACGACCAATGAGATGATGGGGAGAGGCAATTGTAGAGTGAGATCAAAAATTCAGTTTTGTACTTTGGTAGTTTAAAAGTTACATTAGTTACTTTTCTGTTGGTGTGATAAATGTCATGGTCAGCAGCAACTTCTGTAAGAAACTATTTACTTTGGCTTATGGTTCCAGAAAGCTGAGAGACTACATCTCTCCTCTCCTCTCCTCTCCTCTCCTCTCCTCTCCTCTC